AAAAAAATCTTTAATTATTAAAACTCGCTTTTTTGCTTTTTCTTTTTTCCTTTTCTTCTTTTTGTTTTGTTGTCTTATCAGACGTTCATGTTSATTGCGTCAGCTTAATAATAATAATATCGAATATACGTCAACTGGATTGAGGGGATTTTCGGTGCAAACATGTCTTATCGTGTATATATCGAAAGCTAATTAAAAGCTTTTTAATTTTAATGAAGCATACGTTGTCTTCCTCTCTCTTAATCTATCTCTCAATTTATATATTTATTTTAATCTCTGTCTCAATCTGGAGCTCTCTAAAGCTCCCTCAGTCTCTCTCACTCTCTTTCACTCTCTCTCTCTCTCTCTCTCTCTCTCTCTCTCTATCTCTCTCTCTCTCTATCTCTGTCTCTATCTATCTCTCAATGCTACTCTAATTACTTATTTACTTTAAATTTACTCACTTTCTTTATTGCTTTATGTCTTGCTCTTTCACTCTGCATCTTCTTCCTCTACATTCCTATCTATCTTTCTTCATTTCTATCTATCTGGACTTATCCACTCATTCTGTTAAATATCGTTTTCTTATCAATTTTCCATATACAATTTAATCTATTATTCTATTCTCTTTCTCTCTTTCTCGTTCTCTCTTCCTCTCTCCCTCTCTCTGTTATAAAACAATAATACCGTATCGATTCTCCTCTCTGTATATACTTTGATTTTTAATATTGTGCAATGAGACGTTTGTCATTTGGAGCTGCTGCATTATTGTGAATATGTCAAATCATTGAGATTAAATAACGGCAGCAGCATTTGGCTAGCAGCATTTGAGCACGTATTTATGTGGCTAAAGCGTGGCATAAAAAAAATTGATATTAAGCTGGTATTAAAATCATGGCCTGTCTATGCTGGCTAAGGCTAAGGTCGAGGATGACAGCACAGGAAAAAAAAAATAAATAAAAAACAACTTCGAATCGACACAGTAAAATGGCCATTAAAATAATAAGACAACACCAATGGGCGACTGTCAGAGAGAGAGAGAGAGAGAGATAGAGAGAGAGTGAGAGAGCTAATGGCCCTGGCCATGATCACACACGCTGTGTGTATGAGTGTGTGCTTTAATATGAGCAGCACGTGCCGCAGGCCAACAATGAACCCAACATGAAGTCTTTCTCTCACTCTCACTCTTCCCCTCTCTGCTCTCTCTCTCTCTACTGTCTGCTGTCTGCTTCGAGTACTTATGCAAATAATTTACATGGTTTTGTGAGTCGTGCTTAGTGGTCAGCAGTTGGCTCAATAAGCCTCTGCTTTCTGGCCAGCCATTTATGCATGTTTGTTTACCAGCTTTGCTGTTGCCTTAAATTTCAGCTTAAAGCTGATGCGAATGTTGATGCGAATGCTGAAGCACTGCAGTGCTCCAGCTCGCTGAGTCTGTGGCTCATTGATTAGCTGTGGCTACAAACAATTCATTAGCCGTTGACAGCTCAAGTCGCCAATTGACAAGGCCCACTCAAAATATGGCCAGCGCCGATGATGAGCCACGGCCATTTAGCCTGATTGGCACACATTAACAATGGCCAAGTGGCGTGGCGTGGCGTGGCACGGCGTGGCATGGCGTGGCGTTGAAGAGAGTGCGCGACAATTGAATGCCATCAAATTAAAGCTAGTTACAAACAAGCAGCTGCCAGAGCAACTTGATATGGCCATAAATTGTTAGCCAGGCAGCTGACAGTTAATAGAGGTCAGCTCTAAGCTACACAAGGCTAACATGCTAAGCAGCAAATGCGATGCGTGATTATCTTAATTTATGCACAAGTGGCCAACGGCTAGTTGTTAGAGTCTATGTGTGTGTGTGTGTGTGTGTGTGTGTGCAGCTGGCAAAATAAATATAAATTGCAAAAACTGTCAAAGCCAAAAACCCAGAAAGATGGAGAATGCAATGTAAAACGCTTAAAGGCAAAACTGACTGGACTCTTGTGTAAGAGTGTGCGAGTGTGTGTGTGTGTGAGTCTATGTGTGTGTATGTGTGCTTTTGGCACAATAAAGAAATTTTTATCGCTGCCGCATTTAGACATTTGAAGTATGCGCTGCAAAATTTATTGTTGCCCCGTTCTTAGCTTGTGTTTCAATACAAAACCGATAAGGCACATACACAACTACACACACACACACATATATATCCATTCGACCCCAACCGCTTGACGCCTTGGAATTTCAATTTCCATTTTGAGCTTTAAACGAAAACTTTGCGTACTTCGGCCATTTGATTTTCTATAAAAATTTGAGCTTGGTCCAGCTTGTCAGCAAATGGGGCGTGGCAGTGATGTGAGTACAGGCTGCTTTTTACCTGTTGCAAAATAGTTTTCCCATACCAATTTTCTAAATGCACGCCAAACGTCAAGTGCAACAAATGATGAGCCGCAGCGCAGCAAAAGACCCGAGAGGCAGATGAAAGACAACGAAGAGGGAGGCAGAAAGAGAGTGAAAGAGAGAGAGTGAGAGTAAGGGAGGGAGGGGGAGTGGGACGACAGTAGCTGTGGGAGTGGGACGACAGTAGCGTGACAGAAAGCCAAGCGACAGAACTGTCATTGATTGTCACACATTGAGAGCCAGTGGGAAATGCGCTCTATCAGACTTCCTATATAACTCTCTCTATCTCTCTCTCTCTCTCTCTCTCTTATTGATGCAAAAATGCTGTAATTGTGCGTGTTGCTGCTTCTGCTGCTGCTCTCGATTATGGCTAACAGCAATCAGCTTATAAATACTGCATGGACTCAACATTTGTTAAACAATGCGAATGCTCCCCGAAGTGCTTCAATAATGCAAACGATAGAACAAAGGAAAGACAAACTGCAAAAAATAGAGAGAAAAAAAAAAAAATAAACATTGCTGACCATCAATGCATTTCCTGCCAAATGTTCTAGTAACAGTGACAGCAGCTGCTACTCCTGCTGCTGCTCCGGCTACCTGCTGCCACGTGACGTCAATGCAAATTGTTGAGCGATTGCAATGCTGCGTATACGCAATGTGTGCCCAAATCTATGGCAAATGTTGAGCAACTACATTTGCATGACAACTGCAACTAGAAGGGCTTTAACTTCCAGTTAAGTGCAATATTAAATTTAATATTCTTTTTTTATAATTTCGCATTGAGACGCACAAATAACAAAGACAACAATAATCATAATAAAAAAAATTACATTTGATTTTTTTACTTTTTTTTAGTATAAAATCGTTTAAAGCTGCCAGACATTTTTTGTTTTTTGTTTTTTTTTTTTTTTTTTTTTAATTTGTATATATTTGAGTCATATAGTTGATTTTTTTTTTTATAAATACATTGTTCATTAAAAAAAAAAAAATTGTAATTTTTTTGTGTTTTATTTATTAAAGCTTGCTCTATATATTAGGCGAATGAATAAAATATCTGAAATATA